CTTTTTACATATATAATAATCCGATTCTTGGTAAAAATAAAAAATAAGAAAAATGTTGCATAAGATTATTTGATGGCGAAAATAAGTTTGTCAAATGCAAAAATCGATATTATGTAACATTTTTTAGACTTCTTATTTTTCATTTATCAAGAAGAATTGAACTTTATACTTTGACTTCTACTATATTTTTTCGATTGGATTGGACTACGCTGACATGACCCTTGACTTTTACTTAATTTTTAGTTTATTTATAATTATGAACTGTTTCTTCTTACATGTATTTTTATAAAATATCTTATTTATTATTTTATGTTATTAACGTTTCTGTTCATGTGTATTAATTTAATTTTTTGCGGTCTTTATTAACACGACAGCTGTATAATTTATTACAAATTTAGCTCATTTGGCTTTATTATTTATTTATTACGTATATTTTTATATACAGGAGCTTTATATATATATATACATATATTTTTTTTCTCCTAAAAGCACAATGTCCATCAAGGTTGGACGCGGGTGAAATCGAAATTCTTACCTCTGACGAGCAGCCTGGACTGTTCGGACGAGAGCGCGTCTTGACGGGTGAAGTCGCTGGATGTGACTTGGCACTCCCAAAAGCCATCATCAAAATATAAATTAGCACGTCTTATCAGCAGGGTGCAATCGCCACCGCGGTTGCTCGCCCACTCGTACTTGTCCGGGTGCATGCCCACCGGCCTTCGGTCCTTTTGCCAAATGCACTGGCCGGCTTTGTCCTGCACTATGCAACGCAACTGTACGTCGTCATTGGTCGACACTTCTTGATAAAGCGGCGGCTTCTCGATAAAGCGCTGCTCGCCGGAGACAAAAGCGTGGAAAACGCAAGCGACGGCGAGGAGGAACATCGGCGAACGGATCCAGCGATCGGACGTCATCTTTGGTTGCTAGGGGATTCGCGATCGATTCGATTAAGGCATCTTCCACTATCGAGAAAGGTGGTGTTGCCTTGCGGATCGCGCGAAGAAGATCCAGAGAGAGACGCGCGGATTTTGGAGAACGGACTTTGGAGGATTTACGGCGCGAAGAGACTGGCTCACAGACAGATTATGTCAAAGTTCACGGAATCTATCGATTCCGACTGTTTCAGTCGGAATTCCGAATATGATAATTCTCTCAAAGGAAATTCCTTCACGGGAAAATCCTTCGCTGGAATGATCTCCGGCGGGAGAGCGGCGGCAACACGTGAAGGAAACACGTGCGCGATCGAACATCGAATACAATTCGCTCGCAACGCGACGCGAGATGTAGAGGCCTGCAACACCCGCGCCTATACGTTCGCCAAATCATAGATCCCGATCGAAGATAAACCCACCATTCTCTGCCTCACATTTCGCCATCGACGATCGATCCGGGCAAATCACTCGTAATCACGGAACGTTCACTCGCGAGTCTCCCGTTCGGAAATCCGTTGAAGCGGCGCGAGCTCGCTCGAGGCTCGCATTTTATTACCGCGCCTAACTAAAGCGCGAAAGTCCGCGGGGGCGATCCTCGGGTATGGGTATGGTCCCGGATGCTTTCACCAGAATCGCCTATTATCGCCTCACCTCGTCTCCCAGCGAAAATAATCTAACAGAAGCGAAAAAAAAAAAAACGCGATCTTTTTTCAACAAAACTCGTTTTAATAATCGAAATAGATTTTTTTTTTTTTCATAAAACTTTTCCGCCGGTTTGCACTGTTGCGTCACGATATCGATTGATGTCGAGTCGTTTTTTCGAACAAAATTTACGAGTTACTGTCAACTGGAACCGGTAACCGCAGTCGCAAATGCGTACCGTTCATCCGGTGGTGGTAAACATGGACTGAACGAGCCGCCTTCGAGTTCGAAGGGTCGTATCTCCACGCTACCGACACAGCGCTATCATCGTCGAATCAGTGAACTAGTCTACGTACTTTTTTTTGTAATATCTATTATTTGATATTCTTTATCGAAGAGATATTTTTATCACTCAAAAACAATGACTAATCTTCGCGTTATCGAGCTATCTAAGTGATTGTCTATGAAATATCAAAAAAAGTTTCAAAACAGTTACAAATATATTTTTAAATAAGAATAGATAAATTCAAGATGGCTTAAAACAAGCCGTTCTTGTTTAAATATATCACTTTTCATTTTGTAAATTTATTTCGTTAAAAATTAATTATTGAATGTACTTCTAAACAATCGAGATATATATATATATATAAATAAAGCTTTTATTCAAATATATACAGGAATAAAAAATGAAAAGAATCTTATTTACTTACTTTATCATGCATTAAATATAAAGATAGAAAAGATAAAAATACATATTTATTAATTTATGTTTAAATACAAAATGTATTAAATATGTATAAAAAAAATATATTGTAATAATAAATTTATTATAATATTACAATTAACGATTAGGACAAATGAGAAAAGCGCGGTAAGTGCGTGATTAATAAAATAAAAATTATTTATTTAAAAAAAAATTTCAAACCAAATGTTTCGCCTCTATACTGAGTCTCTATACTTAGTGGTATATAATTATGAAAGAAGAGGCTCCATATGGCAGGATGTAATCCAAATATATGTGTGACGCTCACGTCGATTACCAAGACGAGCGAGGAAAGCACATTAACTGTGTCCCACACAGAATCAGACCGAACATGATGAAAAGATATAATAATTCAAACGGTAAAAGAAGTAAAATTACAGAGTCAAGATGGCTAAAATTATAATATCAATATTAAAAAATAAAAACACTCATTTATAATATTATAATATTAAGTTCTAAAAGAAATATATTATAAATTAACATTTCTAGACAATTATATTATATAAAAAAAAGGCTTATCGAGACATAATGTTAGCATCTAATTAAAACGGGGGGGGGAAATAAATTTTTATTGCGAAAAAAAAGTCTGAGGAAACAACAATTGCCCATTGCACTATTGTACCACGTGGCACAAATTTATACGCAATAGGAGAAAGTTGTGTAAAAGGAGATAATGCGGTTTGGCATTACGAATTCGTCTTGGCCACGAAAATTCCGCAAATTTCGCCGACTCGCGAGGCAATTGGAAAAAGAAATTCGGATCTTCTCGCGAAAGGGGGGTTCGAATCCGAGAAGTAGCGCGACGCAACGACGGGAGTACGCGGCGCGGAAAGAAAGTACGCGTGGTAAATAGAATGAGCGTTCAGGCCGCGGAACGACACGAGTTAACGCGAAATTAACCCGTTAAGATCTAAATTTTTATTTTTTTCATTTATGTGTTCGCTCAATTACGCAAATGACCAAAAATTTGATAATTATTTGCATGTAGAGAAACGTCTCGTCTAAATCGTCGATTACAAACTATTTTTTTCTTTCTCAGAAATACTCGTTACGGATTGAGATTATGAGAAGTTATAAAAGTAAAATCACTCGAGTTGAAAGTTTAACGGTCGATTATACAATTGGCTGGTATATACGCTTAAACACGTGTTCTTAACAACACGTAAGTGTCTAGTTGCTAACTATGTACGAAATAACGTGAAATAACGATAAAGAAAATAAAAATAAAACAAAAATTACTTTGTTATGTATGCGTGTGGTGGTGTTCGCTGCTAACACACGTAGCTGTCGTAGTAGTAGTAGCAGCTAATAGGTTTAGCTAATGGATTTGCGCGAAAAAATTTACATGGATGGTGGAATTTAGGTGATATTACGTTATATATAAATACGAGGCAAATTTATGGCAAATTAGTTAGCCGGGTCGCAAGGCACTATGGACACCTGCGATAAATTTTTTAGCGTGAATAGAACCACGCCGTGCCACGCACATTTCTACGGTGCCCTGGCTCGGTTCCACATCGCGCGTCATAGCGACCGGACTGGAAACGGACGGAAGACGGACCCCGAACGCGCGGGCTCAGGCGTGCGTATCCAACCCTGCATCCTCTCCGGGCGCTATCCTTATTATTCGAGCGTGTTATCGGAGTGCCACCGCGTGGTCATGCGCCGCGTTTCGTGCCGGACACCGCTTTGTTCGATCACATTATTACGCTTTTCGCGTAACTGACCCTATCGCTTTTGCGCCTTTGAACGTGTGAAGGAAATCGCCGAGGGGGGAGGGGAGGGGAGGGGGAGGGGGGGAGGGAGGAGCTGGACAGGGCCTGGACGAATAAATAATTTGAAAATGAAAGAAGATATTATTATAACGTATTTGGATAAAATTAGCAATTTGTGTATTATTAATTTTTAATTTTATTCTTGGTATATATTTCAGTCATCTGGTAGCAGCTGCGAAAAATTTAAGAGCTGACTTCAGGAATTATAAAAACTGTAAACAAATAGTCCGATAATATGATATTCTCGTTTAAGGTTATCCCTCTCGCAAATGTATTTGAATGCGAGAGAGATCACAATGTCCTTTGTCGGAACGTTATGTTTTCTCTCTCTCTCTTTCTCTCTCGTATTTAAAACAGAATAAAGAGAAATTAATTTATTCTGATTATTCTATTGTTACTCTATAAATTTCATCATTTTTATCATTCGAGATTTCTCTAAATGATTATAATATATGTATTTCTTATTTTTATGATGAAAAAACTTATAGTTTTCCATGTTATCTTCTATCGATAATACTGTATACTGTATCATGAACTGAAGATATATTATCAAGAATAGATATACGAAATGTTATCACGTCACTGATTGTTGATGTTTCCGTCAAGTTACGACCTCTTTACATTAATTTCCATCGTAACTTTTTTAATATTTCTTTATCATCAAGATCATCTTTATATATCGCAATAAGAATGTATGTGCGTATGTGTACATATTAAGAATTAAATATTATGCAATATTTTTCACAGTTTTTCACAGTTTTTCACAGTTCTGAAAAAAGTTTCAACATTCTAACTAAATTTCAATACTGTTTTTATTTGACTTTATAGATAAAAACATTTTTTTAGAAACTTAAAAAATAAGTTTTCATAGAAAGACGGCGAAAGAATTATAAAAAGAGTAGATAAATTTCGTGCAAGAGTTTTCTATATTATTATTTATTACAATTATAAAAAATAAATTGTAACTCTTTCTTTTTCTCATATCGATTCATTTCTTAAGAAAAAAAAGAAGTAACATAATGATAATCAATTTGCATTAGAAATAAATGCAAAATATAGCTACACTTAATCAAATACTATAAATATTTCAGGATAAGAATATTATTTATAATTTTATATATTGTACACTTTATGTATCGCGCATGTAGCACTTTGATAAAGCCGCGGTCGTACAAAGAACCGATACAGAAGTTCGCGTATCCGACTAATTGGCGGCTGCAATTTACCGCTCGCGATATAAATGCGCGATGAATATTCGCATTGAATTTATAAACGGTCCTGGTTATTCCCGCACGGCAATCAATTCGCGGTAATTATACGCGGCGCGTTACAGAGAGCGCGCGCGTTACCACCGCGTCCAGCATCCCCCTTTCCGCGAGCTTTTGAACTTTCGCGTATCGCGCTCGTCGTGCGTTATGCAGATTATCGTTAAAAACGTTTAAACGCGTTAGCGCCGGTGTTCCGCACAACGCGCGCGCGCGCGGCAAACACGCGCCGCTGTTCGTTTATCGCATCATTCTCGCGACGGCGAAACTTTACATGCCCGTCAGTTTTTTATCCGTCAGATTGAACCGGGGGGTAGGCCCGTGTTTTTCAATTCAACCCGGCTGTTGTCCCTCCCCCTTTCACCACCGCTCCCCGCCCTCGCCGCCACTCCGTTGCACGCGAGGTGATTACGAAATTACACGAATGCGTGCATCGCATTTCGATTAAACGAAAACGGCGGCTCCTCCGCCGGCTGAGAGGATTCTCTCTTCCTCTCCCCCCCCCCCCGCCCCCTCTCTTAGCTTGGCCAGGGAAAATCCGACGTACGTCGGCGATAATAACCGGTCCCCCGTCCGCGAAAACGCGGATCGATATTCTTGCGGCGATAAATACGTGTCGTCCTCCCTTCCTCCCCCTCACCCGCGAGGAGACGCGTGTCTTCGCGCATACTTGTCGTATTTATTACCCCGCGCTAACGCGCGCTTAAATCGCGATGTACTCTACGTGCGCGCGAATGAGAAACGTCGGGCCGTGACGCGAAAAAGCGATGCGGCCGAAAATTACGCGCCGGCTCGTATACTCTCGGCGCGGAGAGCATCGTTGATGCCCGGCGATGGACGCGGAGGCGCTTTATAAAAAAAGGATATTTGGCGCTCTCTCGTCTCCGATTTCGAACGCGGCATGCATCATTAATCGCGCGTTTTCTCGCGCAGTTGTAGATTTTTTCCGCGGAGTTTTATGTTAATTTTGCCGTTGGTGAAAAAGTTAGGAGACTTAATAACAAAGTTATGTAATGTATTCCCGGCGTATTACGTATTCAAGAGGGTAACAAATCGATGAAAAAAAAAAATTTTTTTCTTAAAAAAATTTTTAATGGACTTCATGTCGGTTAATGGAGTTTTAATACGAGGTTCGATTACCCCGAGACGCTTAACATCCAAAGTTAAAGGGTTACGATCGGCTCCGTAGCTCCGAAGTATATTTTTTAAATAAAACTCTCTCCTTTGATTCTTTTGGTACAATCATGTGGGATTACCAAC